GTCTGTTGTTATGTTCCCCTTTTCATTTCTGATTTTGTTAATTTGGATATTCTCTGTCTTTTGGTTAGTTTGGATAAAGGTTTGTCTATTTTGTTGATTTTCTTAAAGAAACAACTCTTTGTCTCATTGATTCTTTGTATTTTTTTGNAGAGAATCATTAGATCTTACTACAAAAGCCTGTATGCCACAAAACTGGAAAATGCAAAAGAAATGGACATTTTTTTTAGATAAGTACCATATACCGAAGTTAAACCAAGACCAGGTGAACAATCTAAATAGACCTGTTAGTCGCGAAGAATTAGAAGCTGTTATCAAAAACCTCCCTTCCAAAAAAAGCCCGGGACCAGATGGTTTCAATGCAGAATTCTACCAGAACTTCCAAGAAGAGATAATACCTATACTCCTTAAGGTATTTCACAATATAGAAACAGAAGAGTCATTGCCAAATTCCTTTTATGAAGCTATAGTCACCCTGATACCAAAACCTCATAAAGACTTAACCAAGAAAGAGAATTACAGGCCAATCTCACTCATGAACATCGATGCAAAAATTCTCAATAAAATACTGGCATTAGAAAAATTATCCATTATGATCAAGTAGGCTTCATCCCAGAGATGCAGGGCTGGTTCAACATATGAAAATCTATCAATGTAATCCATCATATAAATAAACTGAAAGAAAAAAGCCATATGATCATTTCATTAGATGCTGAAAAATTCAACAAAATTCAATACCCCTTTATGATAAAGGTCTTGGAGAGACTAGGGATACAAGGGTCATACCTAAATATAATAAAAACTATTTACAACAAGCCAACAGCCAACATTAAATTAAATGGAGAAAAACTCAAAGCCATCCCACTAAAAGCAGGAACAAGACAAGGATGTCCATTCTCGCCATACCTCTTCAATATACTGCTTGAAGTTCTAGCAATAGCAATAAGACAACATAAGGGGATCAAGGGGATTCGTATTGGAAAGGAAGAAGTTAAGCTTTNTCTCCCACTATTAGTGTGTGGGGTTTAATATATGATTTAAGCTTTAGAAGTGTTTCTTTGACATATGAGGGTGCCCTTGTATTTGGGGCATAGATGTTCAGTATTGAGATTTCCTCTTGATGGATTTTTCCTGTGACTTATATGAAATGACCTTCTTTGTCTCTTTTGACTGATTTTAGCTTGAAGTCTATTTTGTTAGATATTAGGATAGCTACACCCACTTGTTTCTTAGGTCCATTTGATTGGTATATTTTTTTCTCAACCTTTTACTCTGAGATGATGTCTGTCTTTGAGGTTGAGATGCATTTCTTGTATGCAGAAGAAAGATGGATTCTGTTTTCATATCCAATCTGTTAGCCTGCATCTTTTTATAGATGAGTTGAGTCCATTTACATTAAGGGATATTAATGACCAGTGGTTGCTATCTCCTGTTAATTTAGCTTTCATCTTTGGTGATGTTAATTTGTGCATTTTTTCTTCTTCGGAATTTGCTGTAATGAGATCATCAATTGTCTGTGTTTTTGTTGGTGTAGCCATCTTCCTTGGGTTGGAGTTTTCCTTCTAGTATTTTGTGTAGGGCTGGGTTGTGGCTAGGTATTGGTGAAATCTAGATTTGCATGGGATATCTTGTTTTGTCCTTCAATGGTGATTGACAGTTTTGCTGGGTATAGTAGTCTGGGCTGGCATTCGTGGTCTCTTAATGTCTGAATAATGTTTAACCATGACCTTCTGGCTTTCATTGTCTACAATGAGAAGTCAGATATAATTCTGATAGGGCTACATTTATATGTTACTTGGCCTTTTTCCTTTGCAGCTCTTAATATTCTTTCTTTACTCTGTATGTTTAGTGTTTTGATTATTATGTGGCTGGAGGAGGTTTTTTTTTTTAATCCAATCTATTTGGTGTTCTGTAAGCTTCTTGCATCTTCACAGGCATATCTTTCTTTAGGTAGGAAAAGTTTTCTTCTATGACTTTGTTAAATATATTTTCTGTGCCTTTGAGTTGAACTTCTCCTTTTTTACCTATTATTCTAAGATTTGGCCTTTTTATGGTGTCCCATATTTTGTAGTGCGAGGAGATATAGCACGCGGAGATGTAGCGTGCGCCATGGCGCTGTCATGTCGTGGGCACGGAGCCTGGGCGCCATTTGCTGTTCCACGTCAAACTTGACAGACAACTTGTGCACATGCGCGCGAGCTCCCCCCAGCGCGGGGAGTCTTTCGATCTGGCCATCCGATCTGGCCAATCATAATTTAAGCACGATCACTCCATTCTGGCCTGAGCCATTGGGTTGATGACACGTCAGGGCTTTGTCTGGCACCGTATATATTCTTCTGCTTCACGGGGACGGGGTCTTTTGCCTCTCTACAACCTCAAGTGTAAGTGCTCCAATAAAGTGTGTTCTGAGAAGAATCCTGTTGCAGTCGTCTCTTCTGCTGGCGGGAGCGGCGCTGCAATATTTCATGAATATTTTGTGTTAAGCTTTTGTTAGATTTAATGTTTTCTTTAACTGATGAGTCTATTTCCTCTATTGTATCTTCAATGCTTGAGATTCTCTCTTCCATTTCTTGTATTCTGTTGTTCATGCTTGCATTTGTGGTTCCTGATCTTTCTCTCACGATTTCTGTTTCTATAATTCCTTTGGCTTGTGTTTTGTTTATTGTTTCTATTTCAGATTTCAAGTCCTGGATAGTTTCTTTTATAAGTTTGATTTCTTTTTCTTGGTTTTCTTTAAGTGATTTGCTGATGTCTTCTAATTTTTTGTTTGTCTTTTCCTCCATTTCTTTAAGGGAATTTCTCATTCCATCTTTAAGAATTCCAAACATTCTCTTGAGGTTATTTTTTAGATCATTTTCTGCTGGTTCATCCATATTTGGTTGTTCAGGTCTTGCAGTTGTAGGGTCTTTAGGGTTTACTGGTATTGTGTTGCTCTTTGTTGTGTAGCATGTGATCTTACCTTTTGTACTCATCTTTTCCTCTAATAAGTGTGGTTGGGGATGTCTGAGATTCTGTTGAATAATCTTCTAGATGCCAGTGAATCCAAAGCTCAGATGGTTGTTCCTCGTGGTATAGTCAATGTCACAGTTCTAGTTACTCCATTGGTTATTCCTGTTCCTGGAGGTAGTTCAGTGCTCCTGTGCTTTGGTCTGTTCCCTTGGAGTTTGTTGTGTCAGGCTTACTTTGGCCTAGGCTGTTGGCTTTAATCTGTTTCTGTAAATTGTGGTCTGGATCTCCTCCTGCAGAAGTCCCTAGCTTGGAGTTGGGCCTGTTCTGGTAGAGATCACTGACTCTGGATCTGGTTGCTGGTTCAGTCCTGATCTGCCAGTATTCTGGAACTGGGTTGGCTCCCAGGACTGGATTTACTCCTGTTTTCTGCTCCATGTGGAGCTTGTTTCCTCAGGCCCTCTCTAGCCTAGATGTCTCATTCAGTCCCACTCCTGTGGAATTTGTTGCTCAAGGAACAACAAAGTTTCCCTGCCTCAGGGAAACTTTGGCCTAGGTTACTGGCTTTGACCTGTATCTGTAAATCCTGGTCTGGATTCTCCCCAGCAGAAGTCCCTAGGTTGGAGTTGGACCTGGAAAGGATTCTGGTTTCGGTATACTGCCTCAGAGGTCCCAGGCTTGGGTACACCTGAACCTGCAGAGGACCTACTTACTTCCTCAGAGATCCCAGGATGGCACTCAGACCTGCAGGGGTTCCAGGTTCCTGCCTATTCCCTTTGATGTCCCTGACCAATGCCCAAACCTGACTTGGTTTAGGCCTACTCTCTCTGAAGTCCCAGACTTGTGCCTGGGCATGCTGAGATATCTGGTTCCTGCCTTTCCCTTGGAGGACCCAGATTCACTCAGGCCAAGGCTGACAGAGGTCCTGGCTCAGGCCTAGTTCCTGGGAAGTCCTAGACTCTCACCCAGACCCACCGGGTTTACTCTCTTGAAGGTCTCTGATTCATGTCCGGACACTCAGCAGTCTCTAGCTCTGGCTCACTTGCTCAGCCGTTGCTCCCCTGTACCTGTTCTGAGATAGTTGACTCTGGATCTGGTCGCTGGCTCAATACTGATCTGCCCATATCCCAGGATTGGGTTTGCTCCTGGGTTTTCTCCTGGTGGAGCCTGTTCTCTCTGTGTCCTAGGTAACTGGTTCAGTCCCACTCAGGTTGTGGTGGAGATCAGAGACTCTGAGTCAGGTCATTGGCTCAATCCTGGTCTGCCATTGTCCCAGGACTGGGTTGGCTCTCAGGGCTGGATTTGCTCCTGGCTTCTGTTCCTGGTGGAGCTAGTTTCCTCTGGCCCTCTCTGTCCTAGGAGTCTCAGAACTGTGTTTTAAAGTAACATGAAGTATCTTTTCAATGAGGGTAAAATGATACTAGAATTTTTTGTTTGCTTGTTTTCCTAAACAGGGTTTCTCTGTGGCTTTGGAGCCTGTCCTGTAACTAGCTCTTGTAGACCAGGCTGGCCGGTCTTTTCATACACACAGAAAAAGAATGCATTCACCAAAGAATTCCTGACATGCCAAGCTAGTCATGGAACCTTTGAATAGGATTTTTAAGATAATAATATATGTGGATAGTGCTTTCCTGATGTATATGTTTGTGTACCATATGCATGCAGTAACCACAGAAACCGAAAGAGATTATTGAATCTGGAGGACTCGAGTTCAGACAGTTGTTAGCTGCTGTATGGATGCTGAGACTCAACACCCATGTCCTCTGGAAGAGCAGGGAGAGCTCTTAACTCCTGAGCCATGACTTCGACTCCCTGGATAGAAATATACTTTATATCTATGTACATACTTTAGGTTACGAATGCTTGTAAGAAACACAATTACAGAGATAATTACTCTTACTTTTAAATTTTTATTGTTTTATGTGTACTCTGCCAGCATGTATAACTGTGCATCACATGAGTGCCTGGTTTCCAGGGAGACCAGAAGAGGGCATTGGATCCCCCAGACCTAGAGTTTCCAACAGTTATGAGCTGCCATGTGGACATTTGGAATCAAACTCAGGTCATCTAAAAGAGGTCTTAATTGCTGAACCATTTCTTTAACCATATAACAATCTTTTAAAGTTAGTCAAACACTGGTGGTGAGGGGCTAGGCCAGATCTTTCTATTTGATAGGCAAGTATTTTTCCATCATACTGTCTGTGTCCCTGACCTCTACTGCCCCCCTTCCCAGCTCCCTCTCACTCCAAATCAGGATTTCACTATGTGATTGTGGCTGTCCTCAAACTGGAGCACCTCCTGCCTCTGCCTCCTGAATGCTAGGATTATAGGCAGACATGTAGTACCACAGCTAGATCTGCTTTTCACTTGCACTTATCTAGTTTGGAGTCTGCCATCAGACACTGAAATGAGCACACAGAACTGCTACACAGTTAAGTCTCTGCATTTCCACAGGGGACCTGGCAAAGCTTCTTGGAGTAGCCAGGAAAATTGCCAGTACTGAAGAAGATGCTTTTTCATTTCAACTGAGAACTTAGAAAGCTTCAAGATAGAAACCATCTCCCACAGTGCAGGAAGCCTTGATGAAGAGATCCATTGTGGTCAGGAGTCTGCGCTAGCAGGCACAGGGCACAGGGCTTCTCTGCACAACAGAAGAGCTGGCGACTCCTCAGAAGGAAGACACTGGACTCAGCTCACTTTGGCTTGACTGTGTTTCCCGTTGCTTGGAGCGCTTGCAGTATTTGTACAACAGAAACACCAAGCTACAGACTCCAAGTAGCAGAAGAGCGAAGAGCACATACAATGCTGTCTGTGCTTCTGTGATGCCCAGCATCAGCCCCAGGAAGGGCACTTCTGCCTTCACAGGGCTGGCAGTGGGCTCAGCATCTAGGAAAGGACAATGGGGACTCAGGCTCTGGCCATTCTGGAAAGGTCCCGCTGATCCTGCAGTCAAAAGACTGCATAGTACCCTCCTCCCAAACATACACAACAAAAGAAAGCTCAAGGCTGTGGTGTCGGCATGGATCACCTTCATGGTGGTGTTTTTGTATGTGCATACCATGATGCTCACGTATGAACAGAGCATAATTTCCAGGAGGTCTCTATTTCCACTTTGGGCTCCTAGTATTAAACTCATGCCATAACGCTTTTCCCTACAAAACCATGAGCCATCTCTCTGTGCCACCCCACTGCAACATTCTTTATTCACCCGAGACTGGTCTCATGTAGCCCAGACAGACCTCAGTTATGCCAGGTAGTCATGGATGACCTTGAACTTCAAATTCTACTGCCTCTACTTCCTAGGTACTCAGATGCAGGGCTGGGCAACTGTACCCTGTTTGTGTAGCACTGAGTATGGTCATAACCATTTCTGTTTTATAGTCACCCATAAGTACTAGCTGTAGTATTTATACAATCCTTAAACTTGACCTAGAAACTGCCTGGAAGTGTCTGTCCTTCTCAAGGAAGGCGCTGCAATGAGTTAGAGGTAGGACTGGAGGAATCTAGCTCTGCTCCTTCCCACAGCAGGGCCCAGTCTCTATGGTAAGACAGGCTCTGGAGAGACCTGCAGCAGCCAAAAGGTGCTTGGAGTGCATGCTAATGAAAGGAGGGGACAGAAGGGCAGGAGAAGGCCAGGAACTAGAGGAAGGCAGGTGGAAAGAGCAGCTCCCTCTCACCCTTGACCACACAGTGTTGGTCCCTCCCAGCGCCACCTACCCTCTGGTTGCTGGAGACAAGGGTGAGGTCCTTGTGCAGGGTCAGGAAAGCCATTGCAGCGCACTACAGAGGCATAGATCTTGGCCGACGCCTTTGGGATCCGTGGCAGAGAAGGGTCCGAGCGGTTCACAAAGTGCACACCAAACATCTCTGTAAAGCCTGTGGCCCATTCAATGTTGTCCATCACGCTCCATACCGTGTATCCTCGAAGGTCCACCTTATCCTGCACAGCAGCTAAAAAACATGCCGAGTTTGAACACTCACATGAAGACCCTGTGTGCCAGGCCTCCTGAAGCCAGGCTCATAGTTGTCCCCACTCCTGTGCTTTGTAGAATGTGAGTTCCAGCTTTGAACCCTTCCTGTGTGCTAGCAGGTACTCTACAGTGGACATGCGGGACCATTGGTATCTTTCTACAAAGGCTCAGTTCTGAATGGAACTAGGATAGCCTGAGCTAACCCCACAGCTTTCTTCAGTAGCTCGGGGGATTGGTCTGAGTCAGGACCTTGAAATACCCATGGAGAGTTTTGTGAACTAGCTGTCCTCACTCCCCCTGACTGACAGGGGAACTTCCTTGTGGCCTGGAATTGACAAGTACGTTTGTGTTCTTTCTGGCCGGTGGTTTTCCACAGAAGCAGTAGAGGTATAAAAGGTTTCTGGGCAAAATAAAGGTTGCTGTTCTTCCACCTAAAAGGAAGCCTCTGTGTCTCAATCCTGGCACCCCCCTGCCAGTTTCGGCAAGTCCAGGCCGTGCAGGCATGACAAAGTGGAGGTCCCACTGATATTTGGAAGGTGGGGATTCATAAACGGGGTCACTCTGTCTGAGGAGCTTATTGGAAAAGGTAATGTGGTTTTATTTTTCTTCCCCAGAGATACTCTGAGGGATACCCTCCAAAAGATTAGTATAAAGAAGAGGCAGGAGGGTGAATTGAAAGGCCTCAAAAAGTAACTGAAACTCTTAAAGCAACAAGGCACAGAAGTAACAAGGAAGACAGCCGAAGATTTTGTATACAAGGGGGTTTAAATGTTCCAGACTGGGAACAAGCCAAGTCAGATTAAAAGGAGTATGTGTGTCTTCATCCCCAGAGATTCTCTGAGAGATGCCCTCTGGAAGACTGGCCAGTAGGGAAGTAATAAATAAAAGGCAGGAGGTTGAATTGAGGGTCTCAAAAAGATAGAATGTGTACAGATGTATGTTATTGTGTTGTCTTTAGTGTTCTGGACTGGAGAAAGACATTTGATTCTGCGAACTGCTAAGAAAGGTATTTGACTTTAAAATATGGGCCTAAGGATTTGATGCTTTGGAAAAGAGGTTCTGCTTTTGTCTCTACAGAGGATGAGAACCTGTGGATTCATTGCAAATTATGTGGTTTGAATCACCGAGACCCCCTGAAATGTTGATGCAAAATACCCCCAAGAATGCAGCACCCCTGCCAGTCTCAGATATTCAGGCCATGCAGGCATGGCAGAGAGGCAGGAGCGATTAGAAGCAAAAGATCTGACCCGTAGTTAAGACGTCCCTTCTGTTTGCTTGGATGTAGAGGAGGCCGGAGTTTACATACATATCTCACAAATAGTTTGTAGATATGTGTCCATATAAATGCTATGTGTGGGTGCATGTAGAGGAGCCTGGGGTTTACACACACACACACATTTATATTTGAACACATAGCTATAAACTATTTGTGATATATATGTACATATATGCATATATATAGATATATGTA